CAGGACGGCCCAAAGCATTGGGATCCTGCACCCCCGTGGGAGACCTGCAAAAGCTCCTGACTCCTGGCTTTGGATCGTCATAGCTCTGGCCATTGATGTCACTTCTGGAGTGAATCATCAGATGGAACATCTTCCTCTCTATATATATCTGACTGTGCAATAAAAATAAATAAATCTTTAAAAAATCGCTATAGAAATTTTTAATGTAAATTGACTGTCAGAAATTAACACTTTAAATTTAAATATTGGAGCTTAAAAATGCAGCATAGAACTTGTAAGATTTATATTATTCATACTTGTATATTATTAGTGTTAGGCCACTGATTTTATGATTTTGAAAGGTATTAAGCATCCATGTACAATCAAAACACTATTCCTTAAGTTTATCCTAACCACCCTAAACAAAGTTGTCCTAAGGCTGGGGGAAATTCTGCTGCCCTTTTCTCCAAGCTTTGGGAAGCTGAGATGTGTATAAAGACGGCAGCCAGATGGACAACATCTTTTGTCTTGCCCTATAAAGGTTAACTCACTCTTTCATGCTGGCAGGAAACCCTTTCTTCTTACCCTGCATGACATCATACATCCTCAAGGGAGTCATTGCCTGGCCTGCTTCCCCCAAAGGGATATGTGATGCAAAATTTGCTCATATTTCATCATCTGGGGAGTGTGATGCTTGTGGGAAGTAACACTGTGAAGCAAATTCTTTGGATCTTAGTTTCTTTATCCTGCTCAGAACACCTCCTCTTGTGGGGCTGGAGGGTTGCTTTGAGGCTCCACTGCATTTGTTGCATGATTTTCCTCAAGCACCCAGCCTCCTGTCATCATAGTTATGTAGTAAAGCCTCACACAGCTATGCTTTCCTACCTGATCTTTAAAACATGTGGGTGCTTTAGAGGCATAAATGCACTGAAGTTGTGCTATATAATATAATAGCCACTAGTTACCTGACCTGTGAGTGCTGAGTAAATGACATGTGGCTAATATGAACTGTGATAACGGTACAACACATACTGTGTTTTCAAGACCCATCAAAGGGACAGGCATGAGAGCTCAACAGGCTAATCCTCTACCTGCAAAGCACCTGCATCCCATATGGGCGCTGGTTCGTGTCCCGGCTGCTCCACTTTCCATCCAGCTCCCTGTTATATCCTGGGAGAGCATCAAAGGAAGGCCCAGGTGCTTAGAATCCTGCACCTACATTGGAGACTTGGAAGAAGTCCTGGCCCCTGGCTTCAGATCTACTAAGCTCTGGCTTTTGTAGCCACTTGGGGAGTGAGCCAGTAGAAGGATGATCCTCTCCTCTCTGTGTTTCTTTCTCTCTGTAAATCTGCCTTTCCAATGGAAAAAATAAATCTTAAGACAAAAAGACCCACCATAAGAAAAACTACATCATTAATATGTTTCTGTTTGATTTCACATTGAAACAGTATTTTCCATTCATTAGACTAAATCAACTAATTAGAACATGGGCAGAAGACTGAAAAATATTTTTAAAAAATAGGATCAAAATACATTAAATCATGTTGGTGTCTAGGATGACAATGTGCAACGAGGAGACAGCAGTGGACACAGACAGGGAAGAACAAGGTGTTATGGGGATGTTCATAACTTTAGGTCTCTGTCATTTTGGGCATTTGAGGTGAAATAAAAAGAAGGCAGGTGGGGCTACTGCAGTCCTGATGCAGGATGTTGGATGTGTGTAGTTAGATGTGGCTCTGCTCCCATTCCACAGATCAAAGGTGTGAAACAGATGTAATAAATACAGTGAACTTCACCTCACTCAGGTGGCCCTGTTAGTGAAGGCATCATGGAAGCAAGAAGCTTCCAATCTTTATTTCTTTCATTTTACCCCTCAGGAAACCGAGCTTCAGAAGGGTTAGTTAATAACTTGCTGAAATCACAGTGAGCCAGAAAAAAGTTACGTTCCAACCCCATTCTACTCTGACACTGCTGTCCTCCGAAATGTAACTCCCCTCAAACACACAAGTTTCTGCCAGGAAAGAACTCTCCACCTATTAAGGCAATATTTCACTTGTTATTAATTTTTAATTATGTTTATTATCTGGACTCAATAGGTTCTCTTCCATATGTTTGCTAAGCTTTTACAGTTGTATGGGTTTAACTGTATTTTAAAATACACTGCAAATGGGAAGTGTTCTAATGTAGATTCTAGTCAGAGAAATTTGATTTCTGGCCGTTGCACAGCAGCAGAAGTTCTTAACACATTGGTACCTGCGATAAGAACCATCTAAGGAGTATTACTGCTGTTGTGACTTAGAGCAAAATGGCTGGTTATGGTTGCTGGTGTTGATCTGGTCACCAAATGCATAGTTCCACTTTACATGACTTCCTTTTTGATAGGTCTAATTTTTTTTTTCTGATTTTCATTATTAAGGACATTGAGTAAAATTCATCTTTACAATCTCATGCCTAGTATTGTACCCAGAACCCCAATGATATGTTTTTATCCATTCACTGTAGGAGTGCATTTCCATGAAGTGAGCATTAAATAAATAGAAACTGGTTGTCTCTTAAAGGGGCCAAGCACTACTCTAGGGGAATAGAAAATTGCATCCACTTCATGCCATACTTGGTCGGATGGGAGATGCATAAACACTGGTGTGATAAACCTTGCTTATGGGTAAGCCACTAGATCATGAAGTTACACATTAACACGGACTTAAGGAGACTGGGTAAGAAATGTAAAGATTTCCAGAAGAGGTGATATTTCAGCTCAGAGAAAAAGAGTAATCAATGGGAACTAGAAAGTTGGTGGAAAAGGAAAGGCATTCCCAGCAGAAGGGAAAGGCAGATGCATTCAAGCTCTGTAATTTGTTGGAGATTGGTTGGAGGATATGAAAAGAAAAGCAATAAAAGGAGTATGGTGGAGGGAGAGATGAAACAGACCCAATGGTCCTCTAACGCAAACAAGATAATTTCAAAAAAGCAAACACACAGGTGAATCATCTAATTTTTTTAGTTGATTCATTTGGAGTAAAAATTTTAGATTATAAGTATGTAGTTAGAAATAGACTTCAGATTAATTTTAGAGACTTCATATCCATATATTTATTTATACATTACATATATACTTCATTATAATTATACTCTCTATACAATACTTATCATTAGGGACATTTACCTCATGATAAATGGGTTTCATTAGTAGTGGTTTGAGGCTTTATTTTTTATTCATCTATGGAGGTTAATAAAGCTGGTGTTAATTCATTTCCAGGAAATATTACTTTAAATTACAGACGTTTGCTGCGTTTCAAAGGAGACAGAAAACAGTCTAGTTTCCCTATTATTCTGTTTGGTTTTATCTTTTAAATGAACAACAATCAAGACAATCCTACCTAATTTGATTAATCAGCTTATGAATTTAGGAGGAGGCACTAGGATTAAGTAACAAGAGTATGTGAGGGTGCACACAAATAACGCAGCATTAAGTCTTAGCTTTTGGGCAACACGCAGTGTTCTTTCACTGGTCCATTAGGCACTCTGCTGCAGATGATCAAGTTAAAGGTGTGCCACAGCTTCTGTGAATGTGGCATATGAGGATCAATTAATTACAGCTTATAATGAAAACGTCCTGATTATTTATGCAAATTCAAGACTACCCTTGTGTCTCGAATGTGGGAAATTCTTTGGTGGATCAGAAGGTATTTTAATTAAGCATTTGGGATGTTTTAAAATAGCACAATCTGTATGTTAGTTTAACTGCTGGCAGGTAGATTAAGTTCATTTCTAATACCACGATGCTAATTTTAGAAGCAAGCTGCTTTTGCCATAATGTACTCTTTTCACTGTTGGACTTTATAGACCAATAATTCTTCGTGTTTGAGAACCCAAAACTATGCCTCTGGGTGGTTACCGGTTGGATTCTCACAGCTGAAGGTAATATCTCATTTGCAATTCTATCCTTACTACACCTGGGTACTACACCTGCTAAAGGGAGATGGGAACAAAGGTGATCTTAAATTTGTATGGTTTTTATTTGTGACCTGCCTCATGGGAGTTCGTAAAAATAAAATATAACCCAATTTACCCCCACTCCATGAAGTTGAAAGGCAAATGGAAAGATTTATGGAGCGGCTGACCCAAATGAGAAACTGAAAAAAATAGGGTAAGTTTTCTTCCCGCCTCAACTCCTCCCTCCACATTTATTAAGCACCCACTTGAATCAGATGAAGATAAAAGAAGGAAGCCGTTACATTGCAGTCCCTCACGGATATCGTAAAACGTAATCAGATTTCAGAGTTTTCCACACTGAACTCCCGGCAGAACCAGCAGCTACGCAATCTGATCCCAGTGAAATAAGGGCCCTTGCCCCACTGACTGCCAAAGGAAAAAAAAAAAAAAAGTGCCACAAAGCCACTGACAGCTTCCCCCCTCTCTCAAGATGTTCCCAATCACTGCTCACAGCATAGCATCCCTGGCCATTCCAGACTAGGCACCTGGCGCGTCTTTTTCACAATCCGTCAAACCTGTTCTCCTGCCTGGCCCGCATCCCCGTTTCTCACCTTAAGGAAAGTGGAAAACATTAGTTTCACCTGGGGGCTGGAGGGGAGGAAGTCAGAGTGGGAGAAAGGCTAAAGGAGGGGGATGCAAAGCTGAGACGGAGCAGCCGAGCAGCCGCGCTCTCTCCGCAGGTGGCTCTCCGCGCTGCTCCCGGGAGGAGCGACTGTCCAGCTGCAGCCTGGCGGGCTCTGCCCCCCGGGCCGTCCCCAGGAGCCGGAGCGCGCAGCCGGCCGCCCGAGCCTATCCCTTTAAACGCCGGCGTGGCTCGGGTCCCAGGCCGGGGGGCTTGACGTCAGCGCCGCCTCCCCGGCTGCGAGGAGTAGTGAGCGCCACCGTCCGCGCTCCCCGCTCCCTCGCCAGCTGCCAGGGCGGCGAGTTTTCCTCGCTCGGCTCCTCCTCCCGCCCTCCCCGCCGGGAGCCGAGCCGCGGCCCCAGCTCCTCTCCGGAGTCGCTCACACACTTGGCCGTCGGCGCCCCAGCGCGCGCCTCCACCGCGGGGCTCCACTTCCTTACGGCGCTTCCTCCATCCCCATGGAGCTCGGACGCCGCTGCCGCTGCCGCTACCGCTGCTGCCCGCTGCCCTGAGCTCTGAGCCGGGCTGCCCCGGCGGAGGGCACGGGCCGGAGGTCGCGGGAGTGCGGAGGCGCGGGCTCCGGCTACGACCGAGTGCTGCTCTCCCGGGGTCACCTGGCCGGCGGCGAGGGGGGCACCATGGCTCTGAAGGACACGGGCAGCGGAGGCAGCACCATCCTGCCCATTAGCGAGATGGTGTCCTCGTCCAGCTCGCCGGGCGCTTCGGCAGCCGCCGCCCCGGGGCCCTGTGCGCTCTCGCCCTTCCCCGAGGTGGTGGAGCTGAACGTGGGAGGCCAGGTCTATGTGACCAAGCACTCGACGCTGCTCAGCGTCCCGGACAGCACTTTGGCCAGCATGTTCTCGCCCTCCAGTCCCCGGGGCGGCGCCAGGCGCAGGGGAGAGCTACCCAGGGACAGCCGGGCACGCTTTTTCATCGACCGGGATGGCTTCCTCTTCAGGTACGTGCTGGACTACCTGCGGGACAAGCAGCTGGCGCTGCCGGAACACTTCCCCGAGAAAGAGCGGCTCCTGCGTGAGGCCGAGTACTTCCAGCTCACCGACCTGGTCAAGCTGCTGTCGCCCAAGGTCACCAAGCAGAACTCGCTCAACGACGAGGGCTGCCAGAGCGACCTGGAGGACAACCTTTCGCAGGGCAGCAGCGACGCGCTTCTGCTGCGCGGGGCGGCGGCGGCTGCCGCGCCCTCGGACCCCGGAGCGCACGGCGGCGGCGGCGCGCAGGACAAGCGCTCGGGCTTCCTCACGCTGGGCTACCGGGGCTCCTACACCACCGTGCGCGACAACCAGGCGGACGCCAAGTTCCGGAGAGTGGCGCGCATCATGGTGTGCGGGCGCATCGCGCTGGCCAAAGAGGTCTTTGGGGACACGCTCAACGAGAGCCGCGACCCCGACCGGCAGCCCGAGAAGTACACGTCCCGCTTCTACCTCAAGTTCACCTACTTGGAGCAGGCGTTCGACCGCCTGTCGGAGGCAGGCTTCCACATGGTGGCGTGTAACTCCTCCGGCACGGCCGCCTTCGTCAACCAGTACCGCGACGACAAGATCTGGAGCAGCTACACCGAGTACATCTTCTTCCGTAAGTCCGCGGCTTCCGCCCGCTCTAGTACCCCCAGCCACGTCGCGCAGGTGCCGCGCGGGTTCGAACTGGCCGCGGCAGGGGGTCTCGGGGAGGGAGCCGATTCCTTAAGTGGTGCAGGCAGGGGTCCCTGCGCGCCTCGCTGCCTCCCTGCTAGGGTGGGCGCAAAGCAACGCTAGACACTTTGGCCCTCCTAGGATCTCCCTCTCCGCTCGACCCCTGAATCGCCGCAGCACCCTATCCTATGCATTCTCCTTCTGTAACTTTATTGAGCTCTTCTCCCTACGCTGGAGGGCCATGGAGGGAGGGATGTGTGGGTTCTCTACTGCTCAGGGCTGGAGGGAGACGGGCACCTGGCGCTGGGCGCATAGGACCTCTTCTCGCGCGGCCTCTTGTAGGTCAGCTTGTGTGCCCTGCAGAGGGCAGGATGGCATCGAGGCACGAACCAGCGCAGGCAAGGTTGCTTCACACAGTGCAGGTGCGGCACAGGGGCATCCGGTTACCCGCGGTTTAGGAAGCCGTGGAGGAGGAGCTGAGGGATGGGGGCAATTGAGCGGCTGATGGAGAAAGGTCTCCAGGCACGGGTGGGAACTCAGATTCCTGGTGCGCCAGTTACACAGTCCGACCGTCTGGTGCTTTGGCAGGGGAGCTTGGAAGAGCTAGAGTTGGAATGTCTGAGCATTACTGTCAGCTTTGGGGATTAGGAAGTGTGTGTGTGTGTCTGCGCGCGCGCGCTCGCTCCTTTCTACACACTTAGGGTGCGCAAGGGGGATGGAGTCACTTTTCCAAGGTGAATTAAATACATTGATTTTACAATTGAGGCTGGATTTGTGCCACATATTTGACTTGGTGCTCTTGGGAGCATGCACTCCCGAGAACTCTGTGGAGGTCAAGAACTGCACCAGACTGCACCGCCGTGCTCTGGGCTGAGGGGTGGGGGCGGGGGGCGTGGCGGGCACAGTCCCTGCTCTGCGGAGCAGGGAGGATACAGACTAGAGAGCCCTCTGGACAAATAAGCCACCTGGGTTGCCGGCAGGAACATTACTTGGCAAGCTTTTTTTCCTTTGGCACCACACAAATAGCTTTAAATCACCTGTAGTGGTAGGGAGCCTTGCCTTGAAAGCCCATCCAGGAAACAGTGAAGCTTTAATTGTATTTATGTATTTTGATAATTCTACTACTGCTTAGGCACTGAACTTTGGCAAGAGAAGTGGAAGCTTGGAGGGAAGGTGGTAGTGTTTGTGGAGTGAGTAAACACAGTACGCTGGCTGTTAGTGTTACATTGTCTTTTAAAATGGAGCTGGATTTCACAGGGAGGAAAGCATCTCAAGGGAAATAAATGAAGTGCCCACCAAAGCAAGATTTTTTTTTTTTAAATCAAAGTGTTCCTTGCTCTAGATAGTACAGTTGGTGGTCAGAAAAGCTTCCCCAAGGAATGGTAGCAGCGAGCAGTTCATGCAAAATTGATACCACTTTGGTAGGTACTAATTGAAATATTTTTAGCATCATTTTTTTTTTTCCCAACAAGACCTTTTTAAAGGCAACATCTTACGTTGTAAATGTGTGAATAATTTCAATAGAAGTGAATCCAGCCATCTCAGAAAATGAGTCAAAATGAACTTCAGCCTTTCTGGTAGTTTCTTTTTTCAGAGAAGATATAGACATTGTTCTGTGGAGTTAAGTTTCTTATACTTCAGAAATCTTAGAGTTTCATCTGTTTTCAACTAGAATAATGTAGACTTGAGAATGTTTATTACTTTGATTGGATGCTAATGCAGTTTGTCTGTAATTAGGGAAAATAAAGCCATTTGACAGATTTTGACATTCAGAGCCTGTTTGACTTCTGGAGTTAAAGAAATATTAAATAGAAATTTAAGGTTACTAACCACTTGCGGAGTACTCACATTCCTAATGAGCTCGGAGATTCATTCATAGCAGTCTCAGACATCTAAGGGGAATTCTTAGTTTTATTTAGTTTGGTTGTCTTAGTTTGGAAGGGAAGGGCATAATTTCTGATTAAAAGTTTCCTTACAATGATAAGTCCAAGCATGGGCCAAATGCATATAATTATCACTTAATTTTGGCTGAAAAATTCATCTTATCTACTAATATTCATATTTTTAAGTTTTTTACATTTTGTATTTTCACAAGTTTGAGTTGGATTCCTTTGGTTTTTTTGTTTTTTTTTTTTTTTAATGAAAAAGCCCTGTAAAATTTTGGTACTTCCTTGCTAACCAGTTCAGATAATGCAGAATACAATTATCTTTTTTTGGCAAATCTGTATAAAAATATTTTCAGTGAATCACAAAATTGGAAGTATTGGGTGGTTTTATGTACTTGTGTCTTAGGTACAGAAGAAAACCTTCATGATTTTTATGTTTCCCTTTGACACAGTTATTTCAATAAATATTTATTGAATCTATGTAGAACATAGATTTATTTAGTGTATGATTTGTCTTATTTTAACCCCCTTTTCAATTTAGGTTATTGGTGAATTTAGTGGTTTGTGACTGTTCTAAATATAGTGGTTTGTTATTGAAAATATTAAGGTAGTTTATACTCCTCAATACCAATTTTGGTTTTCCATAATGCCTCTAAATTTCTGCTGTAGAACAGTGGAACGTAGTTTAAGCTGAACAATAATTCCAGTTTTCACTATTTGCCAAATGTGTTATCTTGGTTAAATTACTGACTAGATCTCTGTGTAGTTCCCTCTCTTGAATAGTGGGGCTTATCACAGTAATAATTTCATAAGGTTTGTGAATCTAAAGTGCTTAGACCCAGGCCTGACCCATAATAAATCTTTAGAAATGTAAACTGCTGTCATTAGCAGTAATATTCTGTAGACCTTATCCTTCGTGTGAACACTAAATTTATTTGTTAAAGTATACATAGTAAGCTTAACTGTGAATTTAATTAGGCAATTCTTTTGCATTTAGATGATAACATACTAAATATGTACTAGTTTGAAGCAAAAAAACTGAATAACTTCTTTTATGAGGTTTCAGTATTTCAGGAAAATTCATCTGAGCTAGCCAGTCACATTACATTTGATTTTATTGAAGTGACTTCTCAGAGTCTGTTTCTGATTCAAGGCCAAGATGTGTTTTAGCACTCTCCTCTAGGACTTCAAATAACTACTGGATTCATATTCCCTTAAGAGCCTGTGTGCATGTTCGGGCTCTGATAGTCAATGTTATACATGGTCTGTTAAACATTTCAACCAGCCTTGTTTGTTGTTGGGCTGCATGAACATGTTTATATACCTTCACTTCTGTTAATTACGTGTTTTTAGTATGCTACAGTGTCCATGTGTGACTTCAAAAGACTGGTGGAAAATAGATTTAAAAGACACTTTCAGCCAAGACTTTGAAATCTATGAATAATATTTTCATAATACATGTTTTTTTTTTTGTATTTTGAGGTTTGTTTCTTTTAATTTTAGAGACATAGACAGAATCAGATTTCCAATCTGCTAGCTCAGTTCCAGATGCCCTCGTTGACCAGGGCTGGGTCAGGCTGCAGCCAGGATCTGGGAGATCAATCCAGGTCTGCCACAAGAGTGGCAGGACTCCAGTCCATCCAAGCATGACCTGTTGCCTTGCACACTAACAGGCAGCTGGGGTCGAGAGACTCCTGGAACGCCATAGGAGGCCCAGGTGTGCTGACCTGGAGCTCACCCAGCAACATCACATGCCCGCCCCGATGCTCCGCGTTTTCCTCAGAATAGTTCCAGTCTTCTTGCACTACTACCATTAAATTACGTAACAGTCTTGAATACTAAAGGTGGATTATCCTTTCTTAGGGAAAACAGAGTGATTTATTGTGTTCCTGTGTTTTTGGAAATGTCTTGTAACTGTAGTTATGGCTTTTTTTCTTATCAATGTCTCAGACAAAGGGCTTCTTGTATTGGTAGAGCATTGCATAGAAGGTACATAATTATCATGGGAGGATGTGGTATGTTTATTACTCATAGTTAAAACTAGTGTGTATTTTTTTGTTTCTCAGTATCAGAGTTTGTATTTCCTGTATTTCTCATAACCAGAGTTTCTGGGAAAAGTTGTATTGATTTGCTGTGTTTCTCTTACAGTGCTGCAAGTTTTGAAACCTGTATGTCCGTGAAAGTGCACATTTCTTTAGGTTGGACTTCATAGATTATTTTTTTATTATATATGAGCATGCCAAATTTAGAAGTTAATAATATTTCTGAGCTAAACTGTTAAGTGTAATTTGTATTAATGGAGTTTTGTACCTACTCTCTCCGATTCTTTCTCAATTCACTGTGTTGGGTTGAAGAACACACGTTGAGTTGAAAACATTAAATAGTGATCTAGCAAGCGTTTGTATCAAGGGCTTTCTAGAAGCATAGTTTAAAAGTCATTCTGTCTAGCTGCATACTTCTAATAAAAATAAAGTAAAATAAAATAAAAACAGAACACGAGAGAGTCAGAGACAGACACAGAAATCTCATCCACTGGTTCACTGTCTTCATGCTCACAACAGCTAGGTGTACGCCACACTAAAGTCAGGAATCAGGTCTGGTGTCCCATGTGGGTCACGGAGATCTAACCATTGAAAAGCCCATTAGCAGGAATCTGGAATGGAGAGCACAGTCATTACTCAAATGCAGGCACCTTTATGTAGGAAATGGGAGTTCTAAATGGTGGTCTAATGCTGCAGCAAATACCTATTCCAACCTCCAACTCCTACTCCTCCTGTAAGACTCCATGCTGTTTGCTATTTTGTGTTTTTAAATCATTGAATACCATTTTATGAAGAAAAATTTTAGTAACCACTGCTTGTTTTTCCCAAATATGGATGATTTCTTTTTAGTAGAATAAACTTAAAGGTATGTGAATGAACTGTTGTCTGGAAGGAGATTTCTCTAATATGTATTGCTTTGGTAGTCAAGGGCTGTAAGAGCTGAAGTTTGTAAGGAGAGGTTGACTGGCTTTCAGGGCCTCTCTACCAGGTAAGTCACCAGCCATGTAGCTTATTAG